AGGGCCAGTCGGGTGCCCCAGGCCCTGGCATGAGGTGCGGTCGCTCCCCCGGTTCTGTGCACCGAGAACGGGGAAATAAACCGCATTGGGTAACTAAAGGCCAAGTGTCCTGTCCTGGGAAGGCCTCGAGGCGTCCTGGCTCTCTAGGCTGAGGCATGGGAGGGGGAGGAGGTGTCCCGGCTGAAAAAAAGCCAAAACCTGGGCTGGCCCGGGTTATAAATAGCCACTTTGTGGGACGGTGCCTGCCTGGGGCCTGGGCAGGGGGCTGATTTTAGCCCCCCGTGCTGCCCCATGGAGCGAGATCAGCTGGGGAGAGGCAGGTTTCATAGAATAGGATCATAGAACAGTTTCGGTTGGAAGAGACCTTCAAGATCCTCGAGTCCAACCTTTGTCCTACCTCTGTCAACGCCACTGAACCATGTCCCTAAGTACAACATGTACCTGTCTCTTAAACACCTCCAGGGATGGTGACTCCACCACCTCCCTGGGCAGGCTGTTCCAATGCCTGACAACCCTTTCAGTAAAGAAATTCTTCCTGATACCAGCCTGAACCTCCCCTGGTGCAGCTTAAGGCCATTAAAGGCCAGGTTTAACCCAATGCTGAAGGCAAGGAGTCTTGTCCTCGCCACTCAGGGCCATACGGGGTCCATTGTGGGTGATCCTGGGTCTAGCCCTCCTGAAGAACTGTCTCATTTGGACAGGAGTTGTGTCCCCTTCAGCAAGAGATGTAGTTTGGACTTTAGGTATCCCTGTGCTCATCTGAAGTCCTCCTTGCTGCAAGGACTCTGAGTGTAATCATTGCCTGAGGTCTGTTTGTGAGGTTATTTCTTACATGCAGGAGAACAGCAGCAGGCTGGTCTTGTAGAAAAATTTTGCAAATTGCTACTGAGCCTGAACCTGCATCCTATTGGGAAGGAATAGCTCAGCAAAGCCCCCGCCGGCCCCATCCTTGCCCTGTAAGACCTGCACGTGGGCTCCATTAGCCCCACACTCCCTGGAGGAAGCAACTGGGGTTTGACCACAGCCTTTTCAGGGATCTTTGCAGATTAGCACCTGCGCTTGGTGCTGACAGAGGTGAATTCGTGGATGCTCACAACAAACACAGCTGTAATCCACATTAGGTGCCAAAAACATCTTTATTAGCAAAGTGTACACTAAAACTCCAGAGAAAGAGATGCTCACAGTTTTACTACTCTCAAAGGGAGCTTGATATATTACTTGAGCAGGCGGCCTAGGACTGTCACAGCATCTAACCGAATGGCAAGGCGGCAGTGCTAAGTGGGCTTCTCCTACGGGGATGCTGCGGGAGTCTGCCAGGGAAAGGGCTGGGGAGGAGGAAGCCTCTGTCAAACCTTTATCAAAAGAGAGAAGCTGGGAGGAAAGGCTAGAGATGAGGTGGCTGGGGCTTTTCAGTTTTCTGGGATTGTGCTTTTGAGTTTTGTGCTTTATGCCCAGGCCAGTGACCAGTTGGATTCATCTGGGAGTTGTGGGATGTGTGTTGGAGTTTGCAAGGTGCAGTCGGCCTTGCTGAAGAAGTCAGTGCCCTAGGACTTGTGCTGAAGCATGCTGAAGTGGCAGGGGCTGTTGGCCCTTAGTTTCTCAGTGGCAATCAAGTAGGACAAGGAGAGCTTCTGTCCTCTGTCCTTGTCCTGGGCTTCCCACCTGCAGCTCCCCCCGGTACCACACTGTGGAGATCTCCTCCTCCTCTGGTGACTACCCTTTTTGTAACGCCCACAAGCTCTGCTGGGCTAAGCCCAGTACCAACGCAATGGTCCCTGCTCCAAAGAGCTGACAGCAAAGTGGCCTCACAGCTAAGAGCTGTGGATTTGCTCTCCTTTGGTCGCTGTGGCTCACTTGGCTTGCGCCGTTCTTGAGAGGAAGCCTTGGCAAGGAAGAGGCGGTGGGTACCGTTTGGCCTAGCCAGCTTGTTGGTGGCCATAAGAAAGAACTGCTCTGGGTTCTCTATAATGTGCAAATGAAATCTACTCTACAGGAACCGCTGGAAAACGTTGACCTTGGAAGCCAGCCACTCTACGCTTCCTTTCACGGTGGCAGAAGACAGCTACAAATTATACCCCTGAGCCAATGGCATTGTCCTCCGTCTTACCCTTGCAGTCAAAATCAACATCAACTGACCGAGCTCGCAGTTGAGGTTCCTCTTGACTTGCTTCGCAGCCCCCATATCTCTAACTTCCAGGAAGCACTGGGTCGGAGAGGTGTCTCTGAATGTCCTGGTGCTCAGAAGATGCCTCCAAGTGCTCAGGGAGGGAAGGGAAACGAGAGCCCCGGAAGAGTCCCTGGGTATTTGGTACCCTTTGGTGGGGAGGCTCTGGGTTCGGGAGAGGTGGGGAATGGTGCTCCTGCTCGGAGTAGACCGTCATGGTTTCGTCAGATGCCACAGCGAAGTGCATTCCGCTTGACAAGGAGTCCCTGGATTTCAAGTGGAACTTTTCTACCTCCGTGTAGCTTGGGCTCTGGTGGGAAAGGAGGAACCAGGTGGGTTATGGCAAAAGCAAAACAAAGTAGCCATGCTTTCTCCTCACCCTATCAGTCTGCAAGACCCAAAATGTTATTTTTTTGCCTGAGGAGGCCTTGGAGCAGAGGAACCCACTCCTCTTCCTACTGATGGGGCAAGTGGTAGTGCTGGAGATGGCAGGCTGTGCCCCCAAATCAGCGATGCACCGGGCAGAAGCATCTCTAGGTAGATCTACTCCCATTTCAAGACCCCTGGGCTTTGCCTGGACCCACGAGTGCTTGTCTGTGCTTTGCATGCAGGGAGGCTGAAGGGAACCCCTGGCCCTCCAGGACCCATCTGCTCGGGGCAGAAGGAAGCTTGGCTGGTGCTGAGCTAGGCGGGGTGGCCTTACCTGCTCTGGGGTTGTTGCCTCCTCAGCCTCCTGGGGTGCGCAGGGGGTGAGAGGCTCCAGGCTCCGCGGGAGGATGCCGTACATGGCCAGGTTCTGGGAGGATGGCGAGATGGGGCTGTATGCGGGCGGCACTTGGGACAGCTGGCGCTGCAGGAGCTGGAGGATTATATTAATGTCTGACGACATCCTGGACTCCAGCCTGGGGACAGAGGAGCCCGGCATTAGCACAGTGCATCCCCGCTGCATCCCATGAGAGCCAGACCAGCAGCTGGGCAGGGGAGGCACTGGGGAGGAGGTGCCAATTGAACTGCCTGAGGGTGATGATGCTTTGCCTGGTGCTGCTTGGTGAGGTTTTTAGAGAGCTTCAAACTAGCACTGCCACAGAGAGATCAATCCTGCCAGCTCTCTCCTGCCACAGTCAATCATCCCCTGCCCAATTTTTGTGGACCCACACTGGGATCTGGAGCGGGGAACTGAACAAAGCTAAAACTACCCTGGAGGGGGGAAAAAATTGCAATGGTTAGTTTTAATCTGGATCAATTCTCCAGGCCAGCTGCCTGTGCTGACAGATGGGAGCAAGGCAGGTTGGTGCCAACCATCTTCAACTGAAGAATGGAAGGAAATGGAAGAGTAAGTCCCTTCCTTTTGCCTTGTGCTTGACTGAGACAAGCAGCTCTGGCAGGAGCGGGCACAGCTCCCCTCGCAGGCAACAGTCCTGGCAGTGCTTACGGAGTGGGTAGGAGATGTAGTCCCTGCTGCTGGGGATGGCACATTGGTGAGACACTGAAATACGTGTGTGGACACTCTGGTGAGTGAGCTTAGCATGGGCAGCAGCCGTGGGCAGGGGAGCCAGCCGCTCGTGTGGGTGCTGCCTGGGGCCTTTAAACCTACATCTCTGGTGTGGGCTCTTCTCATTCAAAGATCATGTGCTATTTCTTATTTAGAGGGCAACAATGTGCACGAGGCTCATTTGCTCAAGCAAGAGGATGCTTGCAGCTCTTTGCAACAGGAAGAGGAGTCCTGCAAAGGGCCCAAGTCATGAGCCTGTGGGTGGTTTCATGTGTGTGATTGCATCGAGTTTGGAGGCAGTGGCAAAGTGGCAGATCCCAGGGGTGGTGGGACAGTGGCAGACGAGGTGCTGGGCTGCAGCCAGGGCCAGGACTTGTAGGACTTGAGACGCTGCTGCATTTGCAAAGCGCTCCCACCACCTCTCCAAGGAATGCAGGGTCCCAGGGGGTCAGGATGAGGCATCTGCTGCACACAGAGCCCACTGCAGCCACCCCTGGAGAGCAGAAGAAGGTGATGGCCTGGAGTCCCCCTGGGTGGTCTCCAACCCCTGTGCCCCAGGGACCTGCCCACCTGCTGAGCTGGGCCTGCAGGAGCTCCAGCCTGGACTCGATCTGCCCCGGTCTGTAGTCACTCTGCAGGGGGATGTCCCGTGAGCTGTGTACCAAGGAGATGTGTTGCAGAGGCTCTGAGTCGTGGTTTGGCCTTCGGTCCTCCCAGAAGGTGAACATGTTGGGGATGTCCAGGGGGGTGGCTGGAAGGAGAACAGACATCTCAGCACTTCTGTCTTGCATCCCCCAGTCCCACTGGCATGGAAGTGCTCCAGAGTCCATCACCCAGCATGTTCATGGAGAGTCATCACCCTGACATACATGGTGCTCAGGGAGAGTCCATTACCCTGGCACCCAAGGTGCTCGTGGACAGTCCGTCACACTGGCATCCAACATGCCTATGGAAGGCACATAGCATTTGGCCCCTTGGGGCAGCCCCAAAGGCATCTCTGGGTGCTAGGAGAAACTGCAGAGCACAGGAGGGACAGAGCAGATACTACTGGGGACAAAAAGACTCTTGGCCACAAGCGTGGCTCGCCTCAGATCTGTGTGAGTTGCTTGGCTCTGTCCCAAGACAAGGCCACCATGCCCAAGCATCCCCCATCACCCTCCTGCCAGCTTTGGCTGCAGCCATGGATACCTGCATAGGACTGGCTGCTCTCCGCTGCCTGCTTGCCAACCTCTGTGCCGCTGGCGTTGGTGGTGATGAGGCTGAGCGTGGGCAGAGCAAAGTCATCCTTTTTGGATGGGGGGAAGGGCTCAGCTTTCGCAGGGCTGCCAGTCTTGGCCTCGTCATCACTGGTCTGGGAGCAGGGAGTGGTGCTGCTGCCCAGGTCATCCCACTGGTCCTTAGTCAATGGGTCCTGCGGGTTGGTGAGCTCTGAGTAGGTATGATACTGCTCTCCATCAGAGATGCCTGTGTCTGGGTCTGTGGGGCAGCACAACAGGTTAATTTGGGGAGTACCACACATGACAAAATGAGCCCCCATCCCCTTTAGGGTGCCTGTAGGGCTGAAGCATCCTAAGGAGACAGAGGGAGGGAGGGAAGGCATCATGGGTGCCCCCAGGGTGGGGACATACAGGCTGGTCTGCAGCAACGGAGGCCTCTGCTTTGGGGTGCCTGCCAGGGCAGTAATTAAATGATGATCCTGCTCCCCAGCCCTGCAAGCCAGGCTCTGCTGACGCTGTGGGACTCACCAGGCTTGTTGTGCTGGCAGAGGGAGTGCTTGCGTCGGTGCGCCCGCCGGTAGGGGCATTCATACTCCTCGCTGGGTGGGG